AAACGGAATGACAAACTTAATATACCCTCAATACAATGATGGAGGGTATGAAAATGTTGTTAACTTGCAGGGAAGAGGTGAATTGAATATAGTAAGGATGAGGGGTCTTGTTTTATAAAGACACTTTGATTTGTTTCTTGAATATAACCATTCGTGGCAGTGAAAGGATCATTTGGTTTTCTGTGACCTATGCAACACTATTTTGTCTTCTAAGGTATGCAAAAGAAAATTAAGCTTTTTATGGCCGTTTAGAACATTATTATAAAAATAGGCAAAATGGTTATCTTTGAAAAAAATTTAAAAATAATCATTTGCCTATTTAAAAAAATCCTTTCTTTAAACAAAATGTCAAAAATTGATTTATAAAAGTTTATGTTACTGGTCCTTTCATTGCTGGAAACACTCTTTGAACAATTCCATTGGAAAACTATTTTGCAGAAAATATTGTATAGAAAATCAATTGACAGGTCGTTATTCTGCAGTTCTTAGCAAGAATATTTTTAAAAATTAATCGTTAACTATTTCTTAGCAGAAATACACATTTTAGTAGTCTTTAAAAAATACGGCATTTCTCCTTTGAAGTCTTTAGAAAACAATTTTTTATACCTTCAGCCAGATGGCTTTGGTCAGACATAAAATGGACAATATTTGGACACTGCTTCGGAACCAGTCCCATAAATGGTTAACAATATGAATAATCATAACGCAAGCCAACATATATTTAAATATACGATCGTCGGCTGAGGGCAAAATCGACTGATGGTTTTAAACGTGTTTTTATAACCTCCAACATACTTCGTCATTCCGTTTGTAACTCCTCGTTTGTAAATTGAGATAGAAGGCTTTGTCTATGTAGGTCAATGTTTTCCTTTGAAATTCAGTGCTTAGAATTTATAGTTGTTGCTTACCCCTATGGCAGAACATTATATATACGTACGTTCTCCTACAGCCCCCATATAATTGTATCTCACCATATTCGGTATTTTGATGATTTTAGCCTCAGCTTCCAGCGGAATAGCTTAGAATTCGGTATAAAAGTTCTACTATCTGTGGCAGAACATTGTCCATATAACTCAATGTTTTCGTACATCCCCCATATTCGGCATTTTGAGCATTTTAGCCCAAGCTTCTAACGTGGCAAACATTGCCTATATAGCTTCATGTTTTCTTATAGCCATCATATAACGATATTCCTCGATATTGGACATTTTACCGATTATAGCCACATAAAGGCTTCTCTACTAATGCTGCAGAACGATGTCTATGTAGGCCAAGGTTTTTCAAAAATCCACATTCTCCCAGGTTTCGTTATATAGATTTTCGTTTATAGATTTTAGGCAAATTTTTTATAGAATTGTTTGAAATATGGATTGTATGTTCTCATCGAATATTGGAATCATATTCGGCATTAACAGACATATTTTAACATTAACTGCTTTTTATTTGTTAATATTCACATACTAATATTATTCCAAAAAATAGTTTTATTTACTTCTCAATGTGATTATCGCTTAAAACAGCATTTGTTTTTAATTTCACGATGATTTTAATATTTCCTTGTTAATAAATATTTAAAAAAAAAATCCACGGATTAGTTTTTTTGTTTTTTTTTTTAAACCACGATTTGATTAAAGGATTTTCTAATAGATTTTTTGAAAAAATGATTTGATTTTTTATTTTTTAAATTCATGATTTTATAGGTTCTGATTTCTTTCAATTAAAGATTTTGAATCATTTTTAAAACATTTTATTTTAAAATGTTCTCAAGTTTTAGAAGAGAAAAACTTTTGCCATAAATTTTTAGTATTCACAGACTTATATTGATTTAAAATTAGCTTTTTCAAAAATCACAATCTGATAGTCGTTTAGAACAGAATTTTTTATATTCACGATTTTTGAATGTACGATATTATTGCCTTTATAAAATAGTTTATAAAATAATACACAAATAAATCCACAATTTACTGGTTGTTGTTTTTAATATTAGTTGTAAAAATATTCTTCATTTTTTTTTCATTCACGATGTCATGGACTTTGACGTTTTATTTTCAATTAAATATTTTCCTTCGTTCGTGGAAGATTTTAGTTCAAAAAAATTTGGCGATTTTTTAATATCCCCAGACTCATATTAAAAAATATGATTCACAGATTTTTTTAAATCAACGATCTCGAAAATTTAATATTGTTCTTTCACGCTTATAAATATTTAAAAAAAAAATACACGAATTGATGGTTTGTCGTTTTTTATACAGATTCCATGAAAGATTTTTTTATATTCTTTTAATATTTTAAATATATTTTTGATAGGCACTGGGGTTTTTACACAGACTCATATTAATTGAATAGTAGTCTTTTTTTTTAATTCACAATCGTTTAAAACAGTATTTGTTTACCTCGTTTTGATATTTATTTCAAATATATTTTCTTAAAAAACACACGACTTGCGCTATCATAGCCTTTTATAAAATTATTTATAATATTAGCCATATATTTACAATTCTTGGATGGTCTTAATCCACTTTTATTTGGAATATTATTGATAAATGCACGACTTAATAGGCGTTAAATTTTTATTATATATTCACAATTTGGAATTATCCGTGGAATTTTTTTATCTCTTGGCCTTCGTTTTATTAGTATGCGCAAAGAGATATTGCTTCAAAAATAGTTTTTTTCACAACGTTTTTCTTTTTTTTAATTCACCTTATGATATTTCGTTTAAAAAGTATGTTTTTTTAAACATTTTGAAAAAAATTAAAAAAATATAGTTCTTGGATTTTTTTAGACCACAACTTGATGGAAAACTATTATTCTCTTATATTTTCATGGGAAAATATTGTTATTCTTTAATTTGCGATTTGTTAGGTTTTGGGAATTCATTTTTAATTCACTCTTTTCAATTATCATTTGGAAAATTTTATTTTAAATTTTTAACATCTTAATTGTTTTCAACATCCACAGACATATATTTCTTCAAAAGTAGGTTTTATGCAATGCAGGAAGGCTATCAAATTAGCCTCTTAAACAGTTTTTCACGATCTAATATTTCTTTACAAAATGTATGTTTTTAAAGATTTGCTCGATTTATAATTTTTTGATTTTTTTTGTTTAATTTTAATTTTTTAATTTTAGTTTTAAACTAATATTTTTTAAATGTTTTTTTTTTTAATTCACGATTTGGTAGGTTTTGTGCATTTATTTTCATTTCACTATATTAAATTATCTTTTTGAAAGTTTTATTTTAATTTTTTTTTTCACGGTTTATAGTCCTATTTTTTTAAAAAACCACAGACCCACATCGCTTCAGAAAAAGTTTTTTTTTATAAAAAAGAAATCACAGTCTGATAGTTTTAAAAACAGTTTAAGAAATATTTTTTAAAAGAAAAAAATATTTGCTCGACTTGTTGTTCTTTAATTTTTCTGTTTAATTCCACAATTTAATGGAAAATTATTTTGTTATTAATATATAATTATTAATATTAAAACGTTTTTTTTAATTCACGTTTTGGGTGTTTATTTTCATTTCACTATTTTAAATTATCCTTTTGAAAGTTTTATTTTAATTTTTTTTCGCGGTTAAGAGCCCTAATTTTTTTTAATAACCACAGACCCACAAAAGTTTTTTTTTTTTAATCACAGTCTGATAGTTTTTCACAATCTAATATTTCTTTACAAAATATATGTTTTTAATGATTTGCTCGATTTGTAATTTTTTAATTCCTTAATATTACTAATAATATTTTTAAATGCTTTTTTTAATTCACGATTTGGTAGGTTTTGGTCATTTATTTTCATTTCACTATTTTAAATTATCCTTTTGATAGTTTTATTTTAATTTTTTTTACGGTTTAGAGTCCTAATTTTTTTAATAACCACAGGCCCACATTGTTTCAGAAAAGTTTTTTTTATTAAAAAAAATCACAGTCTAATAGTTTTTAAAACAGTTTTCCCGATCTAAAGTTTTTTTAAAGAATATTTTTTAAAAGAAAAAAAATATTTGCTCGACTTCATAATTCTTTATTTTTTTGATAAATTTGACAATTGGATAGAATATATTTTTTTAAGTATTTGTTTTAAAATAATAATATTACTTAAATGTATTTAAATGTATTTTTTTAATTTCACGATCTAATATTTTTTAAGAAAATATTTTTTTTTAAATATTGATTGTTTTTGGAATTTTTCTGTTTAATTCCACATTTTTATGAAAGAATATATTTTTTTAAATATTTGCTTTTATTTTTATTTTTTTATTTCACGATTTAATATTTTTTTGTTTTTAGTTTAAACCAACTATTTTCAGGCATCCTTTTGAAATTTTATTGAAAGATTTTCTTCTGGTTGTGAAAAGCTTCGGTTTTTGTCCATGGTGAAGTGGAAGAATATTTTTTTAATATTAACTTTTATTTTTTTATTATTATTTTTTTTAATTCAAGATTTCATTTTTTTTTTTTTTTTGTTTAAAATCCACTATTTCCAGCCATTCTTTTGAAATTTTATTTTAAAAATTTCTCCTGGTCGAGAAAACTTTAATTTCACTCAACCATAACCCAGGGGTAAAGATTTCCATGGTAACCTCATTCCAATTCTTTTGACAATTCTGTTTTAATTGATTATCTCATGTCGACACGTTTAAAAACAAAACATTTCACCTGCCTAAACTTCACCCCCTTTTTCCGACGAATAGATAATAAAGAAATTAATGATAAAAATCTTGTATTTCCTCTACTCCACAACGACTTTTCTTTTTGTTGTTGTTCTTGTTTCATTTTTTTCACGGCTTCTACAACTTAACCACACACTTGACACTTTTGTTTTGAATGTCAACAAAAATGTTGCATGAAATGAAATGTGGTTAACCTCAAAGTTAAGCCATGGCCTATGACGGCCGCACAATAAAGCCACAACACAAAGTTGAAACTAACGGTCAATGGCGTTTCAATGATCGAAGATAATCCACTGAAGGTGTGAAGAATTGTAGAAAGAAGAACTGTTCTTACCTGGTGGACATCCACATTCTTGGAAGGGCGCCAAACGTTGTTCATGTGAGGAGCTGAGGCCACCGCCTCCTCCTCCTCCGCCACCACCCATACCCGAGCCAACGCCCGTTTGTCGTCTGCTATGCTGACGCCGGCTAATTTGTAATTGTGAAACATCTCTACGCAGACGATGCAATTCGCCAACCTGGCGTGTGAGAAGCCTCACAGCCTGGCTAACATCTTTGGCATTATCCAAATGGAGAATGGAATTGAGACCACGTTCCCGCAAACCATGACGCTGCGACGAGGACACCGTATAATCCGAGGCATCATCCAAAATGCTATCGCTATCTTCAAATTCATCATCCATGTCGGGGTCTTCATCATCGGCGGGGTTTTCCGAGGCGTTAATGTCTTCTTGGCTACCAAACGACTTTGGCAAACGTTGCTGATATTGCCTTTCCTCCGCCTGCCTTTGTAAATCCGCATTGACCTGTTGTAGTTGCTGTTGTTGCAAACGTAATTCCATTTCCACACTGCCAAGACGTTCCTCCAGCTGCAGCAAGTGACGCAGCGAATGTTCCATGTGGGTCTGCCGTATATTGCCGTACAGCGAAAAGCCCAGTGAGCTGAGGCAAATTAAAAAGAAAAATATGTGCAGCAGTGAGAGGGAGGCAGATTTCGCTGATGATGAAGCTGATTTCGAGGTGCTGTCGGCGACGGAGGACGTTGTTAGAGGTGTGGAGGCAATTAGCGTTTTGAGATGGAATGATGCAGGTGGTTTGATTAGCGTTGATGTGGGGCTGCTGACTCCTTTGCTTCTTAAGGCAGCAGGAGTTGTGGTATCCGTTGTGTTTGTTGTTGATTTTGTTTTAATGGTTGGTAGGTGAGACGACGAGGAAGAAGCGGAAGATAAAGGCTGTGGTGCACTAGCTTTGGCTGTAGCTAAGGAAGGATTTCGTTTATGTTGCTGTTGTTGCTGTTGCTGCTGCTGATTAAATCCTTCAAGGCGACTAGTTTGCGTTCGGTTTTGTGCATTTGACATTTGTGGTGATGGACTGCTGTCGCTGTCTCTCAAATGTTGATGGGCTTGTAGTTGTTGCTGTTGTGGCATTTTGTTGCTGCCTTTATTGTCCTGATATGTTGCTGGTTTTGTTGTTGTTGCTGTTGTTTTAGCACTGTGGTCATTGTTTTGATTGTGCTGCTGCTGATGATAGGAAACTATCTTGGCTGGGCCTGCACTTGATTCGTTTGTCGTTGAGCCCAGCATATTGTCATTGTTGTTGCCGTTTGTTGACATTGTTGTTGTTGCTGCTGTCCTCATGGAATTTATTGCAGCACTGGGTGTTATTGTTGTCGTCCTCTCATCACCCAGATCCTTTTTTCTCATGACTCCCGTGGCGAGCTTCTAATTTTCTCCTTTGTCTAATCCTCGAGAATAGTTTCCTCTCCTCTTTCGCAATCGAGTGTCAGTTTTGCTGGGAAAATATCCTTTTGTTATTTTTGGCTCCTTTGTTTATTTTTTGTTTCGTTTTCTTTCTTTCCTTGATTTCTTGTGAGGTAATTGTTTTTTATTCTGTTGTGACAACGACGACGAATACGACGTTCTGTCTGTGTCGTTATTCCTTTGGCTGCTGCTCTTGACGATGATGATGACGACGATGCTGCTGTCAAATCATGCAAAAGTAAACTGAATGTAAACTATGGACACACCAGCTTGAGGGCATTACAACGACTGACAAGGGAGAGAGAGGCCCCTGCGGTGGGAGAGCAAGAGCGTTGTAAGAGTGCGTGTGTTTGAGTGGTTTGTAATGGAAACCCGTGGAACAACTCAAAATCAGGGGGAGGAAATGGAAAACAGAGAGCCCAAGAGAGGGCTGAGAGTGCACAGAGCGGCCAGAGAGGGGTGAGAGGGCGAGTGCGTTAAAGACAACCAAAATGAAAACAAACTCTAATGTTTGTTTTTCTTTTTCACTTCTTTTTCTCTGTTACTCCGGCGAGAGTAGTTTTCTCTGCAATTCAATCCAGGTAGCCAGGGAGTGGGGGGAGTGAGCGATTGAGTGTTTTTTTTTTTGTCTTCTCAAATGATTGTTTTCTTTTTTCATAAATCTTCTAGCCTCATCAAAAACGTTTCGAACAACATGGCAGTAGGGTAACCATGGCAATACATGCTCCAAGGACTATCAAATTGCTCTACATAACATCCTGTTGGGTTTCAGTTTTTTCTCTCGTTTCTTTTTTTCGAAATCCTTTGTTTTTTTCCTCGTTAGACTGTTATTCTTGTTACCAATACTGCCGGCCTGGCTGTCTAACACTTATCATAGCTTGTGTGTGTCCTGGTTTAGCCGGTTTTTTTTCGTTCGTTTTTTGCTGGCTTTTGTTTCGCCAAAGTGTTGCCGTTTCTTGTAACTTCTTAAACAAACTAACACAACAACATTTATTCTTTGTTTTTCTATTCTTTTTTGTATTTGAAATTTTGTCACTTTCAGTGTTTGGTTTTTTCTGCTGCTGATCCTTCAGATGTCTGGTTTCAGTTTTTTTGGCTTGACTACCAGTTTAATTTAAGACCAGTCCAAAGGAATGTCAAACAATACATTTAAGGCTGCAAAGAAAGAAAGAAAGAGAAAATGGGTTTTAGGAAAAATTGTTAAATTTTGAAATTGTTTCAAATACCGTGAATTAATTTAAACAGAGATATTGTTATTTAAAAGAAAAACGTAATCAATCTTCCACTTCTTTAAGGAAATCTGTAAAACATATTTTCTTAAAATTGGTATGAAATTTTGTATAACTTCAAATTTTTTTCTGGTATAAAAATTCTTAAATGGAGAATTCATTTTTTCTAGCCTTCTACATTTTTTGCTTTATAATGTTACAATTCTAATTCTAAAAAATCAAAGTAAAAAACTTCGCACGTCTTTGCCCACAGATGTATACCCGCAGCCACTTTTCGATTATTTCAATTTAATTGACTTATGTTATGATTTTTCAAATTGGGCAAATATTGTCCATTTCATAGCGGACCTAAATGAATATGATATATGTTGTGACGTGCCAGGTTATCGGCTAATTCCTTCACTTTATGTGAGATATGCGATAATTTTTAGAAAATCATAAAATATGCGTGAGATACTAGATATAGTCGACCGAAATATTCCATTTTTATACCATCCACCATAGTATGCAGGCTATATTAAATTTGCCATTCCATTTGTAACACATCGAAATATATATTATAGACCCCACAAAGTATATATCTTCTTGATCAGCACAAAACTCTTTGTCGAATTAGCGATGTCCGTGCTTCTATGGAAATCATTCTAACTTCCGAACGAAATAAAGTCTGCAGGACTTTTGGTATCTTAAATGGGCAATGTAGGTCCACGTTTTGGTATATCACCCATGTAATGGAACCTCCCTATTTCGGTATTTTGGTTATTTGGGGGACGTTATTCACCGGAAATGTTTCAAATTTAATATGTGAAGTTCACTATGGATACTACAACCTATTACATAAAATTTTCCGTGCAGGTCAACGCCTTCGTATAGCCCCAATATAACGGTACCTCCCGATATTCGATATTTTAATGATTTTAGCGACATTATTCACCGGAATCGTTTCAAATTTGATATTTGGATACTACAACCTATGACAGAAATTTATGTGTGCAGGTTCACGTTTTGATGATTTTAGCTACATTATCGACACACTTTTTTCAAGTTTCGCATTTGAAAATTGTAATGGCTTATGCAGGTCCACCTCGTCGTATAGACCCTAATATAACGGCTAAATGCGGTGTTTTTAAGATTTTGACAGAATTATTAACGGATCTTCTTTTCTTGAAAATTAAAAGTTCCTTTCAAATGGTGGAGGGTATTTAATGTTCGGCACAGCCGAACTTACAGCTTTTTCACTTGTTATACTTCATCTCATACAGATAAAAATATTGGTATGGGCAAAATTACAAAAAATCGAAGATTTATATCCAATTTTAAGAGAGATCTTAACTTAACCACATAACCACATTTAACATTTAACCACATTTATCTCAGATTTCTGCTTGAGAGAAATCTTTAGATACAGCAAGTTTCAAAGAATCGCCGACTTGTTTCGCAAGTTATGGTAGATAAAAGTATTGGAAAGTGTTGCCCTTTGTGGATGAGTTACCAGAATGGGTTCGCAGATGTATATTATCTTCACAACTTATCTTGAAATGATGGAATGCGCACTAAATTATTTTCTTTCAAAATGTTGATATTTTGTGGGGGAGATACCAGAAGGAGTGGACCGATATTGCCCGTCTCCGAACTCGATGTAAGTTTGAAAATAATATTACGATGTATAAAGTTTGCATCAAATTGGATACCCCCTTCAAGAGTTATCATGCGCACCAGCCAGACAGATAGACGGACGGACATCGCAACAATTTCAACGTCTTTTCATATTAAAATTATTATTGCCGTATCTAAATCCAAGAAACCAACCTCCATATCGAATGTCAGGATTTAAGCTCTATCCGTACGTAGAGTGGCACTTTTCGTACAATTATAGAACACATATCCGAGACCACCTCTACATGTCCAGGCTACACATGAACATCGAACTTAATACCAAATTTTAGATTTCAAGCACTATCTGTTGAACCAATACCAAATTGCACGAAATATAGTAATAGTGAGTACATTTCGGGTGCTTGAAGTACACTTTTCCAAAACAACCTACTTCCAGCAGGGACCCCAATACAGCGTTTTAAAATTACAGCTTCACCCGTTCAGCTCTAACCAAACTGTTCCAAATTTAGTACCATTTAGTACAGTTTGCATGCTTAGTACACTTAGATTCCACCCTTGATAGAATCAGCTAGATCAGTCAGTCAGTTATTTCACTACTTTTTGTCTATAAAAATTTTCATAGATTCTTAGCGCTGGAGTAAGATTTAGAGATTTAAAATTTTCAAACAATTTAAATTTAATTTAATATTTTATTTTGAACATTAGGTGGTTTAAGGTTTAAAGACTTTGCCAATGTCCTCTCCTCAACCTGCACTGTTTCATTTCTCCAACAAAAACACCATTGCCTTGAAATTAATTTCAAAGTATAGCCAGTTTTTGTGAAATATTTTTGGTCTTTTAGTTTATGTGCTAAAAATCCCCTCAAGACATTGAATTTCAGTTTGGCAAAGTTTTCTTTTAAATGGGAACAAGAACAACAATACCAGCACCAATACCATCCTCAGGTCCAACTCAATCCTCCCTGCCAAACCAAAACCATTAACAAAATAGTTTTTCTTTAAAAAATCATTACTTTTTGGGTTGCTGTCTAGGCAGCTACAATTTCAGTGTCTATTTCTTTCATTCTGTGGCGTTTTTTGTTTCTCATCTCCTTGTCCTTCTTTTTCTTCTTTTCCTTTCCTTCAGCTTTTGGGGATGCATTAATTATAAGCGTTAAATTAAATACACACAATGCCTTTTAGCTTAACACATAAAACTTAATACACTTAATTCATTTTTCAAAATTACTGCAACAACGAAAGCAAAAAAAAAGATCTCGAAGACAGTATTGAAGAAAAGAACTTGAAGAAAAGACAAATACATCGAACAAAAAGAAGGGAAGGAAAAAAAGGAAAACTTGGCATGCGGAAATGGGGAAATAAGGATAAGAAATGGAAAAGGAAAACACAACTTAACAAAATGTTGCACCAATTTGTAAATTAAGTAAAAAACGCTAACCGATTCTCCTCTCTCGCCTGGGGATGGGATTGAAAACAAATGAATGAGGGAAATGAGCTGAAAATGGGGAACCACAGGGGAACCTTGAGGTATGGAATTAAGGGAGAGTGGAATATTTGCCATAACCTAGCAAAAATTGGTAGGTGTATGTACCACTTTCAGAATTACCAGTAATGACAACTACATACCCTCTTCATTGTCAGTAAGCAAAAGGTCTCCTGGCCTTAGAAGACCTGCATAAGGTCTTCTATTCATAGGAGATCTACTGAAGGTTTTATATCAATAAACCAGTAAGGAAAAGTAAAAAGTCGGGCGGGGCTGACTATATGATACCCTACACCACTATGCGTATTTAGTACTCCACCATTCGGTACAAATTTGGCAATTTTCAAAAAAATAAAATCCATTTAAAATTCTGCTAAAATCTTAAAATTATCGAATGTAGCCGCCTATTAGGGCCTATACTACGACGTGGACCTGCATACGCAACTTTTGTCATAAGCCTGCACAGACAATTTTCTGGCATAGGCTGTACTATCTATTACGAACTTCAAATACAAAATTTGAAATAATTCCGGTAAATATTGTCGCTAAAATCATCAAAATACCGTATATCGGGGGTACCGTTATATGGGGGCTATACGTAGACGTGGACCTGCACGAACAATTTTCTGCCACAGGCTGTGATATCCGTTACGAACTTCAAATACCAAAGTTGAAATGTTTCTGGTGAATAATGTCGCTAAAGTCAGCAAAATACGGAATATCGGGAGGTACCGTTGTATGGGGGCTATACGAGGACGTGGGCCTGCAGTGACCATTTTCTGTCATAGGCAGTAGTATCCGCTACGAACTTCAAATACCAAATTTTAGACAATTCCCATGAATAATGTCGCTAAAATCATCGAAATACCGAATATTGGAAGGTACCGTTGTATGGGGGCTATACGAGGACGTGGAGCTGCAGAGACAATTTTCTGTCTCAGGCTGTATTATCCATTTCGAACTTCAAATACCAAAGTTGAAATATTTCTGGTGAATAATATCGCTAAAGTCAGCAAAATACCGAATATCGGGAGGTAACGTTGTATGGGGGCTATACGAGGACGTGGACCTGCAGAGACAATTTTCTGTCTTAGGCTGTAGTATCCATTACGAACTTCAAATACTAAAGTTGAAATATTTCTGTTGAGTAATGTCGCTAAAATCACCATAATACAGAAAATGGGGAGATACCTTTATATGGGGGCTATACCAAAATGTGGACTTAAATTACCCATTCTAAACACCAAAAGTCTGAACCGATTTTCTTCGAATTTCATGTACTTGCTTCTAGACTGAATTCAATTGGATTTTCCAACACTCAGGTCATCCGGCCCACAGGATTCAGCACCAGCGCACTCAGCACGCACCACCCAAGAATGGTTACAAAATGAGATACCTTTTTTCATTTCCAGCGCACAATGGCCACCAAAATCTCCAGATACCAATCCGTTGGACTATTGTGTCTGGAGTATTTTGAAAAGCAAGGTTGGCACTAAAAAATACCAAAGTGTCGATCACCTCAAGCAAGCGCTTCGCCGGGAATGGGGCAAAATACCGCAGAGTAACATTCGGGCAGCGTGTGGCGGTTTCATTGGCCGTTTGAAGGCCATAATTCGTGCCAAAGGTGACCCAATTCAAACAAATCTAAACTTATTCTAAAATTTGATGCTATTTCCGACATTTTTTTGGGTTCATTCAATAAAATTTAAGACGAAATGTAAAAATTATGGCGTTTGGCTTTGTTGCAGGTTTTTTTATCTCACCCTCTATATATGGGAGCTATAGCTTCACCAAAGTTGATCTACTTGCTTCTAGATTCGGAATTGC